CGGTTGCAAGATTAATCGTCGTCGGCCGGGCAAATCAAAAAAGCCTCCACGGTATCATTTCAGACATAGAACTCGATACCGTCCGAGAGCGATTTCCGCGACTCTGCATCTTAGTGCGGACGTCGCCCCATAACATGACATCGATCCTCTCGGCGATAGCGCTTCCAAAGCCAAGACCAATTTCACCGATGTTTCCAATGTCACCCGCATTGCGACCGATCTCGCCTGGGTCTGCCATCCCTGCGCTCAGTATCCGCTGCAGCGACTCTCGCAACCTGCAGACGAACCCCGGTACGCTTCAAGGCGATATTTGGAAACAACCATCATTATTTTTATCACACTTTCGAATTGGTCAAGGACGCTATCGTCAATAACTTGAAAAGTTATTGAGCATCGGTGCCAAAATTGAATGCAGCACTCCTCAAGTCGCTGGCATTATCTCCCTAAATTTTCTTCCGAATCGGATGAGCCAAAACGCCGTTATACGGGGAAACGCGGATTTTACGTTTTCCGCGTTTTTAGCCGTTCCGCTCATTCGATATCGGCCGAACCACACTAGAGTATCCCTAGGTGGTTATCATATACAAATTCGAGCCGAATCGTGCGACTACTAACGGCCAGCTAAGCCATGATAGGTTTTCACGTCTTCCTAGCTGCCGCCGAAAGTATCCGCGCGATCTCGGCCGAACCATCCAACCACGGTACTACTCCGTACCGTGCATCTACACACCACTTCTGAACCTGATCCATCCAGTATTAAGACCTCCGTAAGTCCTTTTACGAAGACGGGGAAAATTTCACCGATGTTTCCAATTTCCCCGTCTTTGGGCCGAAAGGACCGTCTTCCGAGGATCCCACCGCTCTGGCGGTTGGATACGACGCTCGGTAGCCTAAGCCGAGACCGCGGGTAGAGTTTTCTCAAAATGGGAGAAAACTCCAAACTCCCCAATGCCGACATCGACTATCCGGAGAGGCCAGAGAGGAATGAGATCCGACGTCGACAGCGACGACGGGCGCTTTTTACTGGAAATTTTGGCGGACGATTCACGAGCGGTCCGCCAAAAGTTTGGAGATCGGAGGAAAGGGATCGAACGTCAACTGCCGGCGTTCGCAGTACTTCAGTGGGTGTACATACATGGTGCGAAGAAAGCGATACAGAGCGAAATGTAACAAATCTTATTCTATGGTAAATAACTTGTATATGTTAATTGTGAACCTTTATTGTCTGTTAATTCTGTTCAATAAATACTTTTAACATATCTTCCACGGTTTGATTGAAAAAACCCTGTCGTCAAACTCAAGACCTTTTGGAGCTCAAGCTCACACGCTCGCTTTACGAGGCTCCCGTCGAGGCTGCCATTCCTCGACGCGGATATTATAGTGCCTAGCAACCACTACTCGCTTCACGAGACATACCACCCGAGGTAGCCTAGCCTGAGGTGAAGACCCTGTTCAATAGCCCCCTGCATCGAAACAGCGGTAAATTCCAGGATCCTTTTTGAAATCTGCGATACCGTCCGAGACTGACCACCTGCGACGAAGATCCTGTGCGATAGCCTCCTGCATCGACACAGCGATACCCCAGGCTCCTCCAGACACCTGCGTACCGTCCGAGGTAGCCCCACCTGAGGCGAAGATCCGGTTCGATAGCCCCCTGCATCAAAACAGCGATACACTTCAGGCTCCTTCAGAGACCTGCATACCGTCCGAGGCTGAGAACCTCCGACGAAGATCTTGACTCCGATTGTGCCGGTTCCACAGAGAGACCTGCACTTCGGTACAGGGTACACACATAGGCTCCTACGAGTCCTATCATTCAGACTCTACCGAGATCTGCAAATCCGAGGCAACTTCCTCGTCAAACCTCTAGGCGGTCACTCGTCGAGGCAACCTTCCTCGTCAAACCCCTACGAGACATTTTCTTTGCGACTTACAGGCACAAAGCAATAGTACACACGTCATTGAGGCGGCGTACTCCAAAATTTAAAGAAGTATCAGTACTTCTCAGGGCTCCCTCGAGAGACCCACATTTAAAGTATTCAGTGTTCTACAAGACTTCTACAAGACTTTCGGAGCAAAAGAGCTTGTTCCGACATTATCGTACGGGGTAAGATGTATCCCTGCGACGCGACATCGATATCCAGTGCTACGAGGATTGGTACCCTCGAAGGTACAACAAATAAATCAGATCGTGATTCTTTGATCAAGACTGAGCTGGACGAGACCTCGTCCCCATCCGGAGAGACCAGCGGTTGCGCGGACTGCCCTCACGCCTGTTTGCCGGCGAAAGATCTCCCGACACTCCGGGTGAAAGAGGAATTGGCCTCCTTCCCCAACGTTATCTCGATGCTACGTGAAGAGTCTGGGGGACCGAAGGTGGTAGCTCGCGGTAGTTCGCGGCACGGCGCAGCCACAGCGCCGTACGCGTTGAGGTCTGCTGCTACGCGGCTTACTGATACCACCTCGATCATCCCTCATGACGCACTCACGGAGACGAGTAGCACTCAAGAGTTACCACGAAGTGGGTCACCCACGAATACTAGGGACGAGGTTATCCCTACGCACCAACTGGTAGGGATCGGGGAATCCCATGAGCCCAACCACGGTTCGCGGTCCGGCCCCGATAACGGCCTACTTCCGATATCGGGTGTTCCGGAACGTAGAGCCGTTGGCGACGGCTATACAGTACATACAGCATTCTACGAAATGGTACCCAGCGGGAGCAATGCGCATCTCGTTCGGGTGCCATGGCATGCGAAAACCCCTTAGCCGACTATGTCGTAGGTGACGTAGCCGGCTTTTTCCATCTAAGCAATTCTGGTACATCACCCGTCCACTCTCATGATTTCCCCCGAACATATGATCACCGCCTAAGTGGTCCCTATTTAGAAAATCTAACCCGACACGGCGCTCGACGTGGGGCTCGACCATCGTCGTCGAGATCTCCCCCACGAGCTCATGTCCTAGACACCACGTCTGTAGGCCATATCCACCACAGACCACAGTCCCTTGAAAATCTGATGAGACCTGGCGTCCCAAGTGACGATCCATTAGAACTCCGGGCGTCTCTATCGCGGACCCAGGTCAGGGAAACCCATAATTCGGATCATAATTCACGATATGGCGCTCGACGTGGGGCTCGAAGCTCAGCTTCGTCGTCTTCGCGGCGAGCTCACGTTGCTGAATCCCCTCACAATTTTCAAATATTAGGCACTTCAGATCAAAGTACCCGACATTCCGAATTAAAAAATTCTTAAGTTTTTACAAGTAAACTATGCAGTAGTTTTTAGCCTTGAAAGAGTTTTTTTCGGTGTTCGGAGTTAAATGGAGGAATAAATTGAAAGGAAGAGGAGGAAAAGTGATTCTCACAGAACTTTTGACATAATATTTAATTTTAAGAAAGATTGTCAAGTTTACAAAAATATTAAAATCACATTTCGATAGATACTGAAAATTTCCAGTCGCTTTTCTAACAATAACAATAAATTTAGTCCTTTTTGAAGTATACAATCAGTTAAACTAGAAATTTAACATTTAACCTGTTTCCATTAAGTCTTTTTCTTGATGATAAACTTAATAGCTCTGCTTGAAGATCGCGTTCAAAGTTTGAGTCTTCAAAATAAAATATTTAAATTGTCTTGGTTTGCACAATAAAAATTATTATTGCAAATTGCAACACTACACCTCACTCCTGACATTTTTACGTGGTAAATTAATAGTTTATATTAAACACTACACCATCAACTTATTAAAAACTATTATCGATAACTAACTAATTACTGCAAAATACCTAAACAACTATGAAATATTTACTACTTGGAAAAATGCAAAATTACTAGTTAAGTCGCATGTAAACAAACATAAATTCTAAAGGTTATAAATATTGTGACGTAGTATGAGATAAGCCACGCCCATAATTTCTGTCCATTACTCGACCATCTTTTTTACGGACCGTGAATAACAATTACATTTTGATATCAGAATGAAGCGAGGCGAGTGCCATCTGTTGCAGAGTGTCCAAAGTTGTAAACGTATTTAATTTTCTAACTGTAATCGGGTGTGTAAATAATTTTCAGTTTTCCATATCGGTGAATTCTTACGATTTTCAAATATGATGCATTTAAATATTAAACCATTTCTAGACTTGAATTTTGTTAAGGTACCTTCAAAAAACCTCAAATTTCCTAATGACATTTTAAATAACCGTTTTGATCTAAAAAAAAGTTTTTAGCCATAAACAGTTTCTCAAAGAAAATTTTATTTCTCGTAAACTAGCGAATATTTTCTAACCAAATTATGTCATTAGGGGCTCCAACAAATTCTAAACCCTTTCAACTTTTCATTTGCAATAAATTTAGTTCCTTTAAATTTATTATCATCTTTGAAATAATTTGTTGGTGGAGCCATCTAGTTTTCCTCTGTCAGAAGTGGCCGTCTTAAAGTACCTACTATGGCTTTAAGTTTGATATAGGAGATATAATACACAACTGATATAAGGGTAGTTGACAATGGCAACAAAGGGTATTAATGTTATAAATCTATATAAACGTAATATTAACAACTTACTTAAAATCTATTATGGCTAATGTAAGGGTAATTGACGGGGTGGATTCCGATGGCAACAAAGAGGAGTAATAGTTAATAAATCAATATAAATGTAATGTTAACAATTACCTTTCACAATTTAAGTTTGATATCGGGGATATTATACGAAAACTGATTTAGGGGTAGATGAAGGGTTGGATTCCGATGAGAGCAGAGAGCATTAATAGTAGTAAAATGTAACGTTGTGGCTTTCTGCCTCATATTAGGGATATAAGGTATTACCTGTTTAAGGGTAGTTGACGGGGTGGGTTCAGTGGTAACAAAGGGCAGTAATAATATTTATAAATTAGTAATGTTAAAATTTTAAGATAAATTTAAGGTGATATGAGGCTTGATATTGTGAATAGAGTACTTCACCCTTTCAAGGGTAGTTTTATCAATTTTATCTTTTACAGGGCTGTGACGGATCCAAGGGACGGTAGAAGAGTGGCTTTAAAAAAGTTACCGAATGTGTTCCAATCAGTGGTTTCCTCCAAGAGAGTGTTCAGGGAATTAAAAATGCTCTGCTTCTTTAAACATGAAAACGTGAGTAATATATTTATAAACTAAAATATTCAACAAGGAATTGTTAGTATTTATATTGCTAAAATATTGGTGAAAGATTGTTGAATGACTGTTGAAAATATCCAACTAAAAGTAAGGAAAACTAGTAAAATGTATAAAGAAAAGTAGACAAAGCCTGGCAATATTTGAAGGAGTTCAATCTTTGAAAAACATCATAGGGTCTGGAAGCATATGATTAATAGTCCACGCTAATTAGATTTTTTAAAAGAAATAATTCATATATGTACATATAATATTTTGTCCAGGGATATTTTATAGGAGTGGAAGTAAGAACCCGAAAAGTTCCCACCCTAACGGTGGGCGCAACCACCCTTTTTTTCACGAAAAACTACCCACGGGCTGGCGGGAAAATGCTTTTATTTCTGACCGAGATATTATAAGCTTATATCGTCACAGTTACGCTATCAATAAAGAGAGTCATAACTCCCTTGAGACATTATAGATTCTATAATTCCCTCTACCTTTCACAAGTAAAAATAAAATAAAAAATGCTAATATACATATTTGTGTATATATTTATGAGATGAAAAGTGAATCATATTTTATTTATTTGCGTCATTACAAATAATAAATGTACAATTTTGAAATGTTCCCTGAAAATTACTACCGCCACTGGAAACAATTTCTTCTTTTGTATGGCTGGAGCTTCTGTTCACTACAGTCGAGGTACCTGCCTCTTCTAATGGCAAAGTAGACAACATACGCGCCGTTTTATTTCTCAATTCGATGCTATCCTCCAGATACCCCTCCGCCACCGTGGAACTTTTCCAACCTCCGTGTCTTTTTAAGTTAGTCATAGTTGCTCCTGCATTAGCTAGAGCAGTAGCAGAAGTGCGACGAAGGCAATGTCCCGTATAGGAAGATGGGTTTGGCAATCCTAAATACATTGCGATTTTGCTGGGAATTTTCCCAAACATGTTTTTTCCAATTGGCTGAGATGTACATTTATTTTGTTGGAAGCGCAAAAAAAATCGTTCAATACCTTTAGGACGTAAAGACATATAAAGTCTTAATAAAGGCAAAGCAGAGAACTCTTTTTCATCCACAACTGTAAATTTCTTCGATACACCAGTTTTACTTTCCGGTACGTTCACTACCATAACGGAATCCCGGTCCTCTATATCCGATATCTTCATATTCAAAAGTTCCTGACTTCTGCATCCTCCAAAATAACCCATAATCAAAACAACCTAAAACAAAAAAAGGAAATAAATACACACAAAAAAAGGGAAAATAAGAAAAAAATTACCTTATGCAGTAAATGAATTTCATTAGGAGCGTTCTTTAGAAATCTGATAACATCATTAGGAGATAAAACAGCAGACTTTTTCGGCTTATAACTCTTACTCTTCCGTTTCAAAAAAGCCTCTAGTTCATTGAACTTGGCGATATCTCGTTTCTCATGTATATTCACCTTCGATTTTAGCATTGACCATTTAGTCCATAAAGAATTCGGACTATACGTTTCTGACTGCAACGAATAAACAAAATTACTACCAAATCTACCGAAAAACATAGAATATTCCTTACCAATTCTTGAAAATATGCCAGTAATACAGTTTCAGTGGCATCTTTTGGCATAACATTATTCCGTGTCAGCCACTCCAGATATATCTTGTATTCTTTTTGGTATACGGCTTCACTTTTCGATGGAATTAATGATTCTCTTGCTTTTTCAGCTTTTTTCAAAATCTGCTCCATTATATTTGGGGTAGAAAACACGTTTTTAACGCAAACACAGCTTGATAACAAAGTACTGTTTATAAGCAAGTAACAATTCTGTTTATAAACACGTAACATAGCAACAACCTAGCAACAACAAAACTCTTATAATCAATGGTACCTGATTCAAATATACTGGGAAGGTAATAAATTGGTACATTTTTTCCGTTTTAAAAATAAACAATATTTTATTGAAATCGGTCAGAAATAAAATTATCTATGTACCACGGGAATTAATGAGCCTTAATAACCTCAGGCAATTGCTGTCCCTCGGGCCGGACGCCCTCGGGACGCAAACTTTGCCATCGGTAATTAAGGCCCTTATAATTCCCTAGATACATAAATAACTATATCGCGTACAAACAAATAATATTCATAGACTTCGAAAATATGTGGAGGTGGAAGGTGCCCATATTGAAAATGTATTTTGATAGTTTTCTTTCTTTTAAATTATTTTTTTAACTTCCTTTAACTTATTCTTGTTTTGTTTTTCTATTTTGTGTTGTGTAAAGTCTATTTGTCAAATTTTGTTAGTGAAAATTACATCAGCAGACACTAAGATTTTTTAGGCTCTTATTTTGAAAATATGTACGCTTCTAACAGTAATTATGTCCAATTAAAAATTAAAAACAAAAAATGGTGGAGGCGCAGCGCCGCTCGATATGCACTGTGACATATTATCACAAATATTTCTTAAACTGTTAATTTTACCGAGTTGAACTAATAGGGTATTATGGTATTATCGTCGGCAAAGTTTTCAGGGAATTTATTTTTGATACAGGCAGATTGCGATCGTCTTCTATGCAAAAATTATCGGTTGTTAACCGTTGGGCATAGTCCGTCTCTGGCGTTTTGGGCACAATGAAGTTTCGCTTACACCATTAAAGACAAGCTATACGCATGTGTTATCGATCACCAAATTTGCATCATGCTGAAGTTAATAGTGTAGTTTTAGTTTTAAATAACTTTTTAATTTTCACCTTTGAGGGCCCGCAACTTATTAACGAAGACCCGTATGAAAAAAATTTATATGAAGAACTGATATTATTGTGACCTCATCTATTTGTACTCGACTTTTTTGTATCAAGTACCGGGACACCCTGTAAATATACAGGGTGTTCCACCGGGAACTGGGTCGATCGATATCTAGAAACTACTCCGAAAAATTTGAAAATTTGGCGACATGGCAATGTCACTAGGGCGAACACGACTAAAATATCTAGTACTCTTCAGCACTTCCGGTTATACCGGAAGTCGATATTAATACATTTTCGGATTCTACGTGAAATTTGAGAGTCACTTTATTAAATATTCCCTATACCTAGGAGTTATAGAAGTTAATAATAGAAGTATTAATATTTAAAGAAAAAATTTAACAGATGCAAGGGTCAGCGGAGATGCTAATAACTCTTTTCAGGAGCGTGATATCCAGTGGATTTTTGGTACCTGTAAAGGGCATAGGTAACACTAAATTATGGTATAACCACAAATTAAAACATTTAATAATACCTGTTTAATTTTTACTGTTACATTTTGATATAGCCGGAACTGCTGGAGAGTTCTGGATATTTTAGTTGTGTTCGACCCAGGGCCATGTTGCCAAATTTTCGAATTTTTCGGAGCAGTACTTTGGTAGATATCGATCGACGCAGTTCCCGGTGGGACATATACAGGGCGATTTCACTTTAAATACAGAAACTATAGGAATAGATTAATTACCAAAAAATAAGTACAGTTTGTCCTATCAACTTTTTTCCTGGGGGACGTGGTATGCGAGATACAGGGTGTTAAAGTTTACAAAAAAAATTAAATTTTCTGTTATATCTATAATGCGCTCACTAAATTGAATGAAATTTATTACAGCGTATTCACTTAATTAGACCTTTTATTGAATGTAATATTAACCTCGTTGCATTAACCAGTGGCGTGATGCTGAAAGTGCCGTTCCGTTTTCCCTAGAAAAAAAGGCGCCACTGGTGGTTGTTTGCAGAAATAATGTTAATTTCAGGTACTGTTAACGTTAAGTAAATGAAAAATGTTTCTTGGTGTTTTTTAGTAGCAGCCGTTTAGGAGATAATTTACTTATCTGCCAACCATAATGCGCAAATTAGTCCACATAAGTACTCATATTTGTTTAAAATCCATCTGCAAAGATTGATTCTTTTGTCTGCATTATTAGTTAGTAAGCTTAACGATGATCTCGTTTTAGTATTAGATATAACTAGCTCTGTTTATTTATTCCTGAAGCTGCAGTCCATTTTGGGCGTATAAACCCGAGACGAATTGTGGCAAATAATAGAGGAAAATTGTAATCTCCTCAGGGAAAATTGTGCCGTGATAACTCGCGTGATAAATTCCTCTATAACTAGTCTGATTAGAAGATGTCAAAAGTGTATCGATACGAAAGGATTTCGTTTTGAACAATTGTTGTAGGACTTGTCGTTACTTAATTAGTTACCCGACCTATTTGCTAACGTCATTTTATTGTTTAGTTTGATATTTTTTTCACAAATAAAATTATTTCCACAAAAAACTGCCAGCGGCGTATTCTTTTATTGAGAAAAGTTGGCGGACGCTTTAGTAGCACGTCACTGGTTAAAACCAAGAGGTTTCTATTAAATAAATGGACTAATTTAATAGGAAAATTCAGTAAAACGTAAAAACAAGCCCAAATATCTCTTAAACAGCTGCAATATTAAAAAACAACAATAAACATTTTTAATTGATTTAACGTAACAGTACCTGAATGTAACATTATTTCTTTTGGGGGAAATTGGGCGGCACCTCCAGTAGTCCGACACTGGTTAAAGCCACAGGTTAATATTCCGTTCAATAGAAGGTCTAGGTCAAGTGAATTCGCTGTAGTAAATTTCATTCCATTCCGTTAGCGCATTATGAAGATATAGCAGAAAATATATATTTTTTTGTAAACTTTAACGAGTCGCGCAGGAAAAAAATTTATAGAGCAAACTACTTATTTTTTTTTAATGAATCTAGTTCTGCAGTTTCTGCATTTAAAGTGAAATTCGGAAAGGTCATGTCAAAAATGAACGGATATACAGGGGAGGTCAAAATAGTTATAGTACTTCATAAAAAAAATTCCCATCAGGCTTCGATCGGGAGTTATTCGCCTTCAAAGAAAGAAGTTTGAAAAACAAATTCCAAATATAGTCGTTTCCATGACAACAATGAAATTTGGGCAACTAAAATAGGCAACTCATGGTAATGTTCATTTACAA